GGAACAAGATAAGAGTGTTGGGAAAGTGGATAGAGAGTAGATATTATTCTGCAAACTGGCCTGAGACCTCTGGGTATAGGGCGGTATATAAAGTATACTACTACTACTACTACTACTACTACTACTACTACTACTACTACTAATAATATTTGCCTGTTACTTTACTTCTGCAGCCATCCCCAAAACTCAGGTTTCAATAAAATACAGAAGAGTGATTGCTATGCAAGCTTAAATTGGCACCTTAAAGAACCGCAACACAGATTGTACTGGCCTGATTCAGCAGATGCATCGTTATGTTCTTATAAGTTCCCTTTTAAGGAGTCTGTAACTGAATAGGAGATTGATATAAAGGTGACTGTAAAAAGGCAAGACCTCTGGGAAATTGACCTTCTCTCTGCAGTGTTTGAATGTAATGTTCATTGGCAGGTTCCTATTCTGACCAAACCATTTGACACATTAACAAGACCATATAACTTCCCAGAGTACTGGAACCAAGTATTACTAACCTCCCCACACCCTCAAGCAAATTAAGAACCAACTATTTTCCTAGATATAGCTTCCAAAATGAGACAGGCAGTTTTTCCTAGATTAATGTCTGCAACACCACAAATTAATACTAGAAAAACGAGCCAGCTTCCAAATAATAACAAGATACCAGCAATTGACAAGTGCTTTGTTCATTACCATCTATTACCAAAAACAGGGGGAAAGGGGCAGAGCAACTTGTGGTGTTTGCTGCTGTTGGCAATCTTTGGTCTAGCTACAGAGCAGCACAGGAAACCACCTTATGCTAAGTCAGATGCTTGGTCCATCTAGCTCAATGCTGTCCACACTTGCTGACAGCAGCTATCCAGGATTTCAGTCCTCCCCAGAGAAGCCATTTGGGATTGACCCTGCGACCTCTAGTATCCAAAGATGTCCAAATTGGGATCATGGAAGATGTAGTCGACAGGTGGCACTGAAGTTTGGTCTTTAACCAAAAATCACATGCAGCCTATGACTGTACTGCTTTCTCTAGTGTTCTCTGTAGTGTTCGCTGAGGACTAAAGTGGTAAAGGGACCCCTGACCGTTAGGTCCAGTCGTGACTGACTCTGGGGTTGCGGCGCTCATTTCGCTTTATTGGCCGAGGGAGCCAGCGTACAGCTTCTGGGTCATGTGGCCAGCATGACTAAGCCGCTTCTGGCGAACCAGAGCAGCACACGGAAACGCCGTTTACCTTCACACACCTATTTATCTACTTGCACTTTGACGTGCTTTTGAACTGCTAGGTTGGCAGGAGCAGGGACCGAGCAACAGGAGCTCACCCCGTCGTGGGGATTCGAACTGCCAACCTTCTGATCAGCAAGTCCTAGGCTCTGTGGTTTAACCCACAGTGCCACCCGCATCCCTCACTGAGGACTACTCACCTGCAAAAACCTTGCCTTCAGTGATGCTGGAATGATGATCTTCTTAACACAGCCAAGAGGAAGCAATGCTGCCTCTTTGGTAACTTCTGCTAGAAAGATGCAAGGAGGAGTCTGAAGAGCTTGAAAGAAGGTGGCAGACACTTAGCAATGAACGTGGTGCTTTAGACAGAACTGCATTGGCAGTTAATACCAATAACTGTTGTTGTTGTTACTGTCATTGTATATGATGAGCTGTATAGATTATTAGATAAATCTACCCATCAAGGAATCCTCAGTTTATTAAAAAAAATTGGGCTTCAACCAGGTCCTAAGAACTAGACTAAAATGTCATTATCTACAAGAGAGAGTATAAATAAAACAATCAACTAAAGACTGCCATCAAGGTAATCTAATTTTGTGCCAAGGAATGATTTTTCTGTCTATAAGATGCCCCCAATTTTGGGGGACTCTGATTTAAGAAAAAATTGTGTATTTTACTATCCATGTATAAGATGCCCCCAAATTTTTGACATTTTTTAAAAGGAAAAAAACCTAGCCATATACATGGAAAAATACAGTAATTTTGTGAATCTTCTATATCAGGTGTGCGGAACCTCCAGCCCTTCTGATGGTGCTGAACTAAAACTCCCATCGTCCATGGCCGTTGGCCATGCTTTCTGGGGTTGATTGGAGTTGTACTTAGGAATATCGGAGAATTCCAACAAAAACAGAAATGGGAGGGGAAATTGCTTTCTTTGCCCCATGTCCAGAACAGAAATCAACCCAGCGTATGTGATCACTATTTGCTGTGGCTGCTGCATTCAACAGCCTCAAGCAATATGTAATTGATTATGTGACTCCTCTTCATTTGCAATGCACCTCCTTTGTACTGAAATTGATGGGGTGGAATATGAACAGCCTGCAGTATCAGGTCAATGGCCCGTCAAGCCTAGTAACCTGCTCTCAAGGTGGCCTACCAGATGCCTGTGGGAAACCAGGGTGCACAACATGAGCACAACAGCACTCTCCCCTTCTGTGGCTTCCAGCCAACCCAGTACTGGTAAGCATTACTTTCTGTGACTGGGGAGGTAGTGCATAGCTGTAACACGGATTTCTCTAACCCTCTTTTAAAGCCTCCCAATGTAATACATAATGTAACGACAACTACATAAATTGTGTAGGTTACCACTTTGCCACAGCAGACAGTGTGACACAAATAATGGAGTTTTCAGTGGAAGACAAACTTCATGTGATGAATACAGGACGGGATGGATAATGATAATCAATGGAGAATGATGTTATCCATTGTTCTTACATTCCTAGGAGTGCTCCAGCAACATCTGGTGTGCCACAGAAGTTCCCTACACCTGATCTATATTATACAAAGAAACATGTTTCTATAGAGATGTTTTGCGCTGTTTATTTGGTTGTTGCTCATTGAGAAACAGCACCAGATACCAAGGCACAGAAGACTGAACTTCTCAGAATCTTGCACTGACCCTAAATCATCAACATACCTACAAGCCTTTGCAGGCACATGACATTTAGCAACTAGCTATTTTTTAAAAATCTGGAGGTTGTGTAGATACTTAAATTTGCCCTCCTACCAAGTTATGTGTTTTTAATGTGCACACTCAGAATCTACGCCACTCCAATACAATAAGAAGCTGCCATTCTGTTGTACTTGTGCTGGTAAAAGCTTTTTGTGAATAAAAGAAAAATATCCCTTTGTCTCCTTTGAGTAATAAGTTGTGGTGCTTTGCTGAATGATGTTACCTTGTCTGTTATACACAGCAGTCCACTTACATGCAACTTCTTTCCTTTAGGTAGTTTCTCTTAGTACACTGGGGCAAAATGGGGGATTGCTTCAAGCACCATAATGTTTTGATCAACTAACTACATCTTTTCAAGAGACCTGAACTCCATGTTCCTGCAAACCCTGCCTAGCCCAAGAAAATTGGTTGGGGAAACTCATTCAAAGCAGTAACTTTCATCAGAAATCTCCAGAGGGTGAGGTTACCTACAGTATTTTGGGAGAAATGATTCTAAGCAAGTTAGCTACATGGAAAAAAAGAGGAGCACCAAGCCATTGGTGCGAGTCATCAGCAAAAGTTTCAATGGAATCCCAAAATTTCATTGGACTTACAACAAGGAACAATCCTCAGGTCTGGTTCTCTTGAAGGTCACAGAGGGTGAGGATACAGTTTCCTTCCTGCACCAGATTTGTTACAGAAGGCACCTAGGAGTGGGAATTCCTTTTTCCATTTGCACTCCATAGGTAGACTGTAGTTCACCGGTTGGGTGAAAGTACAATGGCTTCCATTCCAGCAACTCAAGTTTCCTTTTTAACACTTTTCTCCATATTTGATCTTGTGCCTCTCCCTATGGACAAGGTGTAAGGTAGGAATGGAGAACCTTTTCCTATGAAGGGCTGCTGGGCTATAGAAAGTCAACTAGGCAGAGCCATGGACCAAAGTGAGTGAAGTCTGCAGGACTATGTAGTTCTCTCACTCTCTGCCATCTTGTCTGTCTCACTCTCCGTTCCACCACATTTCTGGGGGATGCATGAATTACAGTCAACCTGCAAATCCACCATCCAAGGTATGGTGCCAGCCTGAATCTTTGCTTCCTGGTGCAAGATCTATTTTGGAGAACAATGGGGAACAGGAAGAGCAAGCTAATTGTGCATTTTCTCTCCTTCCCCTTCCTCACACCTGATGAGACTTTTAAAAGCATTGCCTTCTAGGATGTTGGGAAAGGGCTAGAGAGAATGTTCAAACAAAATAGCACTTTGGAGGGAGCACTTTGGTCACTTCCCTTCCTACTTAAGAGGAGGCACATTTCTTTAGGAAATGCCATGCACCAAAATTGCAACACAAACATCCAGCCCTGTTGATAGGTTCTCACTGGCAGGCTTTTAAAAATCTTGCCCAGTTAGAGCATTTTATTCTGCTCCTCATAACAAAGGAACATAGGAAGAGCCCTGCTTCCTAGTCCAACATCCAGTTGCCCACGATGGCTTACCAGATGTCTATGGGAAGCCCACAAGGAAGAGACAAGCCCTCTCATACTGTGGTTCCTAAGGAAGTGGGATTCAGAAGCCTGATATCTCTGATCCTGGAGATAAAATCCAGCCACCCTAACAAGTAGCCGTTGCAGAATGTGTCTAATCCAATCTAAATTGGTGGCCATTGTCACACTTTATGGAAACAAATCCCATATTCTGACTGTGCACCGCGTGGTACAATTCTCCTTTTTATCTCTCCTGAATCTTCAATTGCATGGCCCCATTAGGTTCTAGTATTTTGAGAGGGGGGATGTGGGGGAAACCCTTTGTCCACTTTCTCAACACCATGCAATATCATATACACCACTAACATGCCACCTTTATTCAACTTCTTTTTCAAATTAAAAAGTTGCAAATATAATGTAGCTTTTATTCATAGGGGAGTTGTCCCAGGCCTTTGATCCCTATGGTTACTTTTTTTCTGCACCATTTCCAGTTCTACAAAGATCCTTTAAAAAAATAAAAGGAAGACGTGGAAACATGATTTCTTTAAAGGCATGGTGGTATTGACAGGTTTGTTTTGATCCCTTTTCTAATGATTCCTTAGCCTGGGATTAATCTTTTCCCACAGCTGTCATTCATCCAGGTAGTCATTTTCATCAACTCATCCACCACAACCAAGCACAACATGCATTTATCCAGGGTTTGCTATCAATGCTAGCACAAGAAACGTTGAACTATCCAAGCCCATATCCCTTTATTTGATTTGTGACTACTCATAATGGACCACTGAGGACTCAAAAAAATACCACCTGAGATTAATAGTCAGCACTTTTGTTCATGCAGCAAGGGGAGAAAAATCAACATTTCAGAAGCAAAATAACAAATGCCACTTTGGGTCTGGTACCCACTGTTCCTATAGAGGCTCTGCCTCCTCTGCTTTCAACAGTAAGTACAGATTCTGTTTTAGGAATGATGGAAAGCGATGAGTTACAAATGTGAAAGTTCAAATTTAAAAAAAGGAGAGACTGCTTTGTTCAGAATGCATTATTTACATCATTCTTTGATTAACACATACATTGTCTGTAGCTGAGCCACAACGAAATCCGGAGCATAGGTGTGTCCTTGAACAGTCTTACACACTACTCGTTTTCTTGCCACTGCAGTTGTTTATCGAGAGCTCTGAGGTTCCTACGTGCATTTCCAAAGCATCCTCCGTCTCGTCCATCTCCATGCTGTTGAGTTCATTCCCATTGCGGTAACTGTTCAAATTGAGGTCTTTCCCGTATAAAGCTGTTGTCGAGACGTTTGGACACTGGTTGTGCCGCTGCGCTGACTTTTTGCCATTGTTGTAACGGCAGCGGATGTAGTTAGAGAAAGCCCTGCGGTAGATTTTGTTGAAGAGTGTGTATACCAGGGGGTTGACCCCAGAGCAGATGTAGCCCACCCAAACGAAGACGTCCAGGAGCTCCCCCAGCAGAGCCTCATCACAGGCTTCCTTGCAGAGGACAGACATGATGTTGGTGATGAAAAAGGGGCACCACATGATGAGAAACAGAAAGAAGACAATCCCCAGGACCTTGGATGCCCTCCGCTCATTGTTGATGGACTGCATGGTGCCTTTCCGGAACAGCACCCCTTCCTTGTTGACAGGAGAGTTCAAGTGGGATGCGGCCTCATGGTTCTGGAGCATGGAGAGGTTCTCCGTGTTGTTCTCCTTCTTCAGACAGCTCATGCTGCTCCTCCTCTGCTTGGGCGCCTCCCCGTACAGGAACACAGATGCTTGTTTCTGCAGCACTTGGATGGTCAGGCAGTAGGCAAACACCATGATGATGAGCGGGATGAAGAACGCCACAAAGGAACCAATGAGGACAAAGTTCTCATCATTGAGGACGCAGCTTCCATTCACAAACACCCGGGAATCGTCTTGCAGGCCGATGACTGGGATGGGCAGCGAGATCCCTGAAGAGATCCATTTGGAAAGGGAAGGCAAAAAACAATAGCAGGAGCAGCAAAATATGTTATTTCAGTTTAGATTTATAACCCATTTTATAACCCCACTTATATGCTTGGAATGGATAATGATAATTTCATTTAACAACAGGGATGAGCAACTCTCCCTGCGTCAGTTTCTTTCATTCCTAGTGGATATTAGACATCAGTTTGCATTTTAAAAGTTGCCAGCATTTTAGTGGACATTTCTCCCAATATACTAATATACTAATACTAAATTTCCCTTATTTATACACATCCTTGCAAGCACTGGCTAAGCAGACAGAGCTCTGGGAGAAACAAGGTTAGCCCACTTGCCCACCAGATGGCTCCACAAGTACAGGGAGAGGATGGCCAGCTATCTTGAACTGACTGCCCACCCAAAACATTCCATACCCACCAACTTAAATTGTTATTTTAATCAGCTACAAAAGAAACAGAGGAAAGGATCACATATCTTGTCCACAACCTTCAAAAACTTGCTCCAGGCAACCCTCCCCTGAAAAGCTTTCCCACAACCCAAGATAGCATTAAGCAGTGGCTGAAGCTATTGCATCATCCAGCTTAATTCCTGGCTCCTTTGTGAGCAGAGTATATGGCATCAAATTATGGGTGGAGGTGGAGAAGGATGCTAACTTGGCAGGGCTAACCTTTGGATATCTGTGTTACATCTACACTGACTAAAACATCAGTGACACTTCACTGGCTTTTAAAGAGCAAGGCTGTTATGGCACATACTAAGATTTTGCCCTAAAAAAAAACATGGGGGGGGGGGAGAGCACAGCATAGACCACATGACTCACCAGGGAGCACATCCAGGAAGAAGGACACCCCAGTTTTTGATCTGCAGAAGTTGGATAGTGTGACTTTCTAGGAAACAACTCATGCCTAATGTTCTACAAATGTCAGATACCCCTGCATCTCAGGTGACAAAATCACTTACCAGTCTTGGGTTCTACCCAATGTCAGTTCTACTCAAAGTAGACTAATTGAATTTACTGAGTTTGTCATGTCCTTTGGTTCCAGTGGTTCTACACTGAGTAGGACTAACATTAAAGACAACCCTTTGACTTGGGTGGGGGGCACACCATTTGCTGCTCTGTTTCAGCTAGTAAAATGTCCTGGGCCCATCCTAGAAACCTGACCTGGGTCAGAGCTAGGGATGTCAGAGAATTCCACCAAAAACAGGAAAGGAAGCAAAAATTGCTGCCATTCATGTGTTTGTCTTTGGTAAGCAATGGAAAACCAATCAAGTGAATATGATCACTATTTGTTCACATTGTTTTTAAGTCTGCACACAATAAGCAGTTAATGTGTCACCACCACATTGTCTTGTCATTTCCTTTACATTGAATGTAAACTTCATAAAGAGTTATGCAAGTTAAGTAACTCACATCACTTGCAATAAATAGCGGGCTGCAGGGTGAACAACTGAGTGGGAACCAAAGTGCAGTGGAATGGAAGCAGCACTGGTGGTGATGAATGCAGGTTGGAATGGATATTTCTGCTTTCTTAACATCCCTAGGAACCCACCCACCAAGTGGGCCAAGACCTTCTCAACATCTACCGCTTTCCATGCTACTCTCTCACTTACAAAGTGCACAGTTGTTTGGTGGGAGATGCAGGATGTGAAAGGCATGAAGGACAAGCAACATTTCAGTTGTCAGAAGGCTGAGGAGGTTCAGTGGATGCACTACTTCAGGCTTCAGGGGAACTGATCACTTAGAAATAAAACCCAGAGGGGTTGCTGGCATCTTAAAGCTAACACGTTTAAGTGTTTGTGCAGAGTATTACACACCTGCACATGCCCAACAACTCTTTGCTGCAGATGTATCTATGCTGTTCACACAACCATTGTCCAATAGGCTGGGTTTTGGCCAGCTTCAGATATTGATTGGCTTGCCCATTTGGGTATCATAATTGATATTGGAAGGTGAAGTATAATGCTTAATAAACTCTGCCAGCCAATTAAAAAGAAAGCTTTATTGTTCGCAGCAACAGTCCATTATCATCAGTCATTGCAACCCATATTAACTGAAATTTATGGAAGTTTTTTCAAAGTAAACAGAGGCTGGAAAAAGAAAACCACGCCAGTATTTACAAGGTTATAGCTGGCAACAAGGGAGGGTGACTTACCTATAGAGATGGTCCAAACAGCAGCAATTTTCATTATTGCCTTGGTGCGAGAATTAAACCGGCTGTGCTCGATGGGGTTACGGATCGCAACATAGCGGTCAAGAGAGATGGCGCAGAGGTGCATGATAGAGGCAGTAGAAAAGAGGACATCTAAGGAAATCCAGATTGGACACAATTGTTTAGGTAAGGGCCAAGCATAATCTGAAACACAGAAAGAGAGAGAGGAAGAGAAGCAAGGGGAAAGAAGACAAATTAGTTGGGGGAGGGTTTCACACTAGTACTTAGCAACCTAGTTGAGGCTCAGAATTGCACTGGGTGGCACATGAGAACTGCAGGAGAAATTCATCCCTTTGTATCCGGATGAAAAATGGCCTAATTCACATTTCTTGAACCAATACGGGAACGAAAACACAATTAGCTGAAATTCACCCTTCTCTGAATTTTGGTGCTGCAGCTCTCGAGCCAAACTATGGATACAAAAATGTGCGTAAGAATACATCAGCAAGCAGAAATCGGGGAGAGGGCTTTGCAAAATAAAAATGGCACGTTAGTCAAAATTGCATACAAAATACGTATATGAAGAGAAATTTGCTCTAAAATTGCTGGTGAATTTTCACAGGGATTTTAAAAAGAAACCACAAATTACTGTGAAAAATTAAGATTGGAATAAAATGGGAAACTGGGAGAAACTTAAACTGGTGGATTCACTCACCCCTAGGGAGCCCCTAGGTTTGTAGTTCCCAAACCGGGTGCTATGAGAAATCTGCTGAAGTGCCAAGAGAAAGGAAATAAAGAAATCAAAGCTGCAGTGGGGGAGTCCCCATGGCTGAGCAGGAGAGCACAGGGTCTGCATGCAGTAAGTCCCTGGTTCAATTCCCAGCTAGAACAATTTTAAAGTATCAGGTAGCAGGGAAGGGGAGGGACCTCAGACCCTGGACAGCCACACAGAGATCTAGTCTGGTCTAGGTGGGCAAGGAATATAGCCTGGGGGCACCCAAACGTGGTTCCCAAGGATCAGTCAGCACAGAACCCACTGAGATCCACTTCCATGTAATCATGCATGCAACTATGCTATGAACACTCCTAGATGCCCAGCCACAGTGTTTTAAATATTGGACATGCTGGCTGCCCTTCCTACTGCCTGCCTTTCCAAGGGGACAGGTCAGGCCATGCTGCCGCTCCTCATTATTGAATGTGTTTGGATCATTTTATTGGTCCTGGAGCACGCAAAGCCCTTGCTCTAAGACTGAGCTATGACCTTCTACTCAAATGGGAGTACAGGAAACTGCCTTAACCTGAGTCAGACCATTGGTCCATCTAGCTCAATACTGTCCACCAGGGCTGGGTGATATATCAATATATTGTCCAAATCTAGTTTGAAGTCCATACTGTGATATTGCTTTCATAATTTTTGACCTGGCAATATATCATGAATCATTCTGTGTGTGTGCGTGTGTGCGTGTGTGCGCGCGCGCTACACAAAAATCACAATGCGGGGAAAACCGTGAAGCCAGCCATTGCCTCCTCACAGCTCAATCCTTATTTCAGACATTGTGATATATTGGCATATCACAATGTTTAGCTGGTGATGCATCACAATGTTTAAAACCAGATATTGCCCAGCCCTATGTCCACCCTGACTGGTAGTGGGCTCTTCGGGGCTTCAGGCAGGACTCTGTTCCAGCTCTGTCTAGAGATGCCAGGGACTGAACCTGGAGGCTTCTATTTGCACAGCAATCCCCCCCCCCCCGTGCTATGACCCTTTCCCCAAGGAAAATCAGGCCAGCTACCAGGGGCTGTGCAAATCATGGAGTCTCTCCCTTTTAGATAAGCAGAGAGAGGTTGCTAATTACCGTATTTTTTGCACCATAACACTCACTTTTTTCCTCCTAGAAAGTAAGGGGAAATGTCTGTGCATGTTATGGAGGGAATGCCTATGGGTGGCATGCCTACGGATTTTCCTCCTCTAAAAGCTATGTGCGTGTTATGGTTGGGTGCGTGTTATAGAGCGAAAAATACGGTAGTTTTAAGGAAGGCCAGGCACTCATCCAAGATGAGAAACAAGTCATCCTCAGAGCCACCTTTAAATGAATAAGACACGTGCGGCTTAATGAAAGTGAGCTCAATTCAACCTGTAACTTAATTCGCCATTTGAGATGTGATGACCTTCTGAATGAGGCACAAGCAAACATTACATTTCTTTCCAGAATGTTATGCAGCTGTTTTGCTTCCCAGATAATTTGTATTCATTCAGCTAAAAATAATAATCCGGGACGACCCTAGTACATCATGAGATGAAGTTTTACTTGCATACTTGTCTGAGGGTGGTTCTTAGGGTGCATAAGATTATTTGTCTCATGGTGATCAGTTACCCCCTTTGCACCCTTAATTTGCCCTGCTGGGCTCACAACCAGAATGGCTAAGAGATGGGCATGGGAGGGGCTCCCCACTGTTGTGGCCCTGATTGGGAGGCAAGAAGTGGTTACTACTTTTTACATGGGCAGATGAAAATGCTGGGAGGGAATTGAACTATCTGTTCCAGCTTCCCCAACCTGGGTCCTCTAGTTCCCATCAACCCCACCCAGCGTATGATCTCGGCTGTACTACCTGGGATGGATGGGAATGGAACTCCAAAATATCTAGAGGGCACCAGGTTAGGGAAGCTTGCAATATTCTGACTTGCACTGGCTTTCCAGGGTTTCAGGCAGAGAGGGGTGGGGTGGGTCTTTTGCAACTCTTCTGCTTGGTTGAACTTCCCACCCCCAAATGCTACTATGTCATTTATCTCATTTGCCCATTGCAGCAAAATTACTTAACTTACACTATTGACATAATCAATTACATTGTCATCTCCACCCACCCAGCTCATTTCAATGCAAAGGAAACACAGTGCAAATGTGATGGCAGGGTGGGGTGGGGCGGGGCCATGATATAAATAATAAGGTATCCTTTGCAAACCAAAAGCAACAAAAACAGTGAACACTGATTGCATTCCCTAAATTGATTTCCATTCCAGACTTGGGAAAAATAAGCAAACACCCACATCTTCTGCTTCTGTTTCTGTCAGAATTCTTTGACATCCCTACCTCCCACTTAGGTTTTTTTATTTTTATATGATGATGACGATGATGATGCTAATCAACTAAGAACAAGATCTAATTTAGGGCTGCTGAGGATTGAACCCAAGGCTTTCCCACATACAGATTATGTGCTCTGCTGATGATGTGGGCTGCCTGTTGTCAAGGTGCGGTCCTTTCGTTTGTGGCTGTTCAAGAGCCTATTACTGTGGCAATGACTGTTTAGATTAGGGATGGGGAGCCTGCAGCCCTCCGGATGCTGCTGTTTTGATAATATTAAACCATTGGTCTTGGTGACCTGGATGGAGTCCACAATGTTGGCTCCCTATCTGTGACTTATGATCTACAGATCAGGGCATGCAAGACTCCACACACCCTCTGTTTCATTGAGCAAACTGGCAACCGTGACCCTGTTTGCCAAATTCCCTTACAATTTCCTTAGAGTGGCCATTTCTCTTAGGAGTTTAGGGGCTGGAAATGGAACTTGTGGCCCGTTCACATCAGAATGCACAGACCATGGTGATGTGATGGAAGCATTTTTCATACTAATTCCATTTCCTTTCATCCGCTTCCCATATCCACACACACACACACACACACACACACACACACACTTCAACAGCCACAGATTTTACAGAAACAGTGAGCAATTACATGGAGTTTAAACTTTTCTTGCACTTCATTACTCGTATATCCCCTGCCCACCCACCCCCACATCTGAAGTGAAGACTTTCTCACACTGAAAAGCAGCGCATGGCAACAGAAGTAGAAGCGATGCTTTCTCGTCTCTGCTCCATTCCCAGACAAGTGACTCGCAAAATTACCCCATCTTGATGAGGTGCATTGCTAATGGCCCTCATCACGCCACCTTCCTTTCCCTGAGCCGAGAGAGATGGGACAATTAGTCTAATCAGGCAACTTTGTCACTGGTGATTTTTGAAAACAAGCAAATCCTTCCTGGTGGGTGCAGGAGGAAGAGTCAAGGGCATCACTGACTGTTGCTCTCCAGGCATTATTTAGGTCTCTGAAAACACGGCTCCTCTTTAGCTTTCATGTGCTGACATCAATGTGCTCCGGGTGGCAATCACTCTAATATGCTTTCAAGAAATGTCTCTTGACCTTGTTCCAACAGAGGTGGCAAACCTGTCTGTTTGGACAGCTTCAGACTCCAGGTGGGGGCTCACATGGTTGACTCAAACTCCAGACCAGAAAAAATAACTTTTAAAAACCTTGGCACTTAGGGCTTACCTACACTTCTGTTTGCTTCACCTCTTCCACCCGGGGAAAACTCATGGTTTAGCACTGAATCAGAGCAAACAGCAACTGAGTTTTCAGCAGATTCCCATTTGTTCTGATTTATCACAAAAAAGCAGGTTTTCGAGGAAAAGCGACAGGGCAAAGGGAAAACTGCTCAGACCCAAGTCTGAGGGTCTGCACAGGGCAAGCGGAAAACCTCTTGGACATTTCTGAGCGTGCATGCCCTCCAACATGGCTCCAATGAATATAGGGACAACAACAACAACAACTTTCTTATTTTACCCCATCCAACTGGGTAGCCCATCTAACTGGGTAGCCAGTTAGTGGGTGGTCTCTTATTTTTATTTATTTTTACATGGTTTTTTAAAAAAATAATATTTCATGTCGTATGGTTGTTGTAAACCTCTTTGGGTTTTGTTTTTGAGAAATAATGCTATATTTTAAATAAATAAATTGGATTAAATGGGTGGGGACTACAGACTGCCATTTTGATGCCATTGATGTGATGATGTGGATGCTGCAAAAAAGAGGCACATTGTAAACATCCCACAGTTTCCCCCTCAAAGCTATGTTGCCTATTTCTTTAAAGGATTCTTCAAGATCTCAAACGCTGCTGAGTTCATTTACTGAGGCCACATGAGGCCGCATAGCCTGATTTAGAGATGTTGAGACAAAGGGGGCAGACTGGAGAAATAGCGTAAGGAAAACTGGAAAGGAACAGAAAAGATGGAACAAACAAACAAAAACTGAGCCCCAAACCCCTTTTCCTAAGGTGCAAGAATGACTCTAAAAATTGTCAAATGATCTGGGGACATGGGAGCTTCATCAGCTGGGTTCCACACAACAGTTCCCGCTTTTAATTAAGAGGTCTCCACTCCTGCCCCCGCTTAATTAATTTAAAATATAATAATAACAGCAAATGTATCTATTTTATTTCCACAGCTTACAACCTGCTTCATTGTTGGCATATCTTAAATGGGAGCCTTCCCCATTTGTATATCTTAATGGAACTAGTTTTCTTGATAAGATTCAAAATGCAGCCCCAGTAACCTCAACCTGTTTACTTGGCTCATAAGATGGCGTCATGTGGGCAAGGCTGAGAATTCATTAGCCAAAGGAAAGCTTCTGCCGATGGCTAGAGGTGAGTGCTGAACTAGGGATTTATGACATGGATCTTCCACACATGGTGCGCTCATGCACACACACACACACACACACACACACACACACACAGTCTCTATTCCCCAGGAGAAAGCTACAAAGGACCACGAGTGGTGAAATGACGGGATGTCGTTCCCCTTGCAGAATTATTATAATAAGCATTTGGTTGGTAGCTGTGAGAACAGCATGTTGGGTTAGATGGGTCTTTGACCCAATCCAGCAGCCATATACAGAATTATCAGCCACCTTTCAAAAGCCACTGTACTCAAGCCCCTTTCACAATTTTAATTCCCTGAGCTATGGATGCCCACCTGAACAATGGCAAAGACAAAAGAGACATAATCATTGACTGCTGGCAGCTCAAAATCATCAGTCAAAGCACCCAAGCAATGAAAATGTTTAAGTCAATAGAAAATTAAGTATCTCCTTAAGCCCTTCCCCTGCTGAAGACTGGCACAGCAAGTTTCCTCCAAGCTTTCCGACATTCAAAGTGCCCTCCACTGAACCCTTCAGAGGCTCTTACAGATGATGGATTAATTTTCTGCCTTTGTAAAGTTAATGGCATTTCACTTGCCTGCTGGGGTTAAAAAGCCAACAGGCTGCCTTTAGAAAAAGGTCAGGGAGATGGACTGATGGGTCCCCTGACAGCAGCAGAGAGTCACACTCCGAAGAGAGCAAGCCATGTCCTGTTCAAAATGAACCATGCCTCCTCTCCCTGACAGCTCAAGGAAATGATCTTCACCCCTCATTTGAATTTCTGCATGCAACAGGACCACTAAGATGAGTCAGGCAGAGATGGCAAGTTGCTCAGAGGAGTTGAAGCTTAAGACTTCAAGCCATACAGCTTTGCCTCCAAGATGCTTCCAGCTTAGATAAGGAGAGGTAGAATTTGAGTAGTTATTGGCCTACTTTAGGCACATTAGGTCTACATTCTAACTCTTGTTGGAGCAATGCGTCAGCTCTCTTGGAGCTCTCCCAGGTTCTGAAAATCCTACCTGCCTCCTTCATGCCTGCTATTAACAATAATCTCCATGCTGAACCTCACCTACCACCTCCATGGGCCTCTGGCAGCAGACAGAGGACAGCAATCTGGCTGCCGAATTCTGCACTAGCTGAAGTTTCTGAACCATCTTCAGAGGCAGCCCAATATATAATGTGTTGCAGGAATCTAACCTAGAGGTTACCAGAGCATAGACAATAGTAGTTAGGCTGTCCCTGTCCAGATAGAGACACAGGTCTATCCAAAGCTGATGGAAGGCACTCTGCACCACTGATGTCACTAGGCAAGCATGATTAGAGTTCAAGGACAGATTGCTGTCAGGCAAATGCAACTGGGGTGGAAAGCAGAGACAGTGAGAAGTATGACTGGGGAGAGGGGTCCTGGCCAGATACCAAGGACTGGAGGACCACATTTCCCCCCAGGCCTGATGTAGCTCACAATCACTTAGTCCTTGTTGTGGCTGAACAATGTTTTAAAATTGTCTTCTCCACCCCAACACTCTGTTCCCTGCACTACACTGAAGACATACACAAATTTCTTCATCTGGCTAACAGGACCCCCTGACCCACCTCATCAGTGTTCTTCATCCCAAGAAACAGGACAGCGGACACCACTTCCGTTATATCACCCTGGCATTTAATTACTGAGGAAGGTCATTACCAACTACATTTCTCTTATCGTGGGGAAATTCCTTTGAACTCCTATTTCAGCTCCCTGACTGTAGCTAAATTGAAAACACTGCTACTGCCTCCTTGGACAAGAGTCACTTCTTATTAAAAAGCAAAGTGGTCTTTTAAGAGAGGGGTGTTATTTCCAAAAAGGGTTTTGTTATCAATTAATTAATCAATTAAAACAAGGGTTTTAAACAGACATCTTTGGAAGTGGCAATATCTTATCAGCAAGCTCTTTTGCAAGGCAACCTGATTCAGATTATCAGGGGCATGATCCAGCACTGTGGTTGGTAAGCATGGAGCCCAGCACCTGGCAGCACTAGAGCCAATGACAGGCAGAGCCAGCTGAGTCTAGCTTTGCCTCCTCTCTCCTCCCTGCTGAATACTACATGAGGCAACACTGAGACCAAGGAGGAGGATGCTGACAGGCTGGGGCCCTCCTTTAGGCTGGATGCAGGTGAGAAAGCAGACAGGTGGGGGCTGACTGAGAGCAGGCTGAGGTTGGTGAGGTACTGCCCCATTCATCCAAATGAGCCAGCTTCTACTGCTCCATTGAAATGAGCTGTGCGCATTGCTATCCCAATGCTTGCTTACTGTGGAGAGGTTTTATTCATTTATTTCATAGAATTTATATCCTGCTTGATTGCTGCTGTTGTTTTACAAAAAACTTTCCAAGTGGTTTGCAAAATGAATAAAACAATAAAATTATCAATAAAAGCTGTAAGCTGTTAAAAAAACTATTTAGAAAAATAAAAACAACTATTGAGAAAAATAAAAGTCAGTGATAAACTCAAATTGTTTTTTTAAAAAACAAACAAACAAACACAACATTCTGCATATTTGGGTAGGCTTGCTGAAACAAAAATTTTTCTAGCAGGCACCAGAAAGAGTACAGTTAAGTCACCTGCCTGATGTCACTAGGCAGGGAGTTCCAAAGTGCAGGTGCTGCCACACTACAAGACTGATTGCTTACAAGCGCCGAATGGGTATTGTGCAGCACCTACAATGGAACCAGTTCTGCAGAACAAAGTGGTCACGGGGGCACATCTGGCCAAAGGTGATCTTGCACTTAAGCTGATCACAAGTTATATACTGGAAGTGTAAAAGAAATAAGAAAAAAAGGTAAAGGCCCCCTGAATGGTTACGTCCAGTCAAAGGTGACTATGGGGTTGTGGCACTCATCTCACTTTTCAGGCCGGGGGAGCCAGCGTTTGTCCACGGACAGCTTTCCGGGTCATGTGGCCACCTGCTTTTCTTTTCATAAAAGAAAATACTGCATTGCTGTGAACCATGCAGCTAGCAGTGATCTTATTTGCTATTGATGTCGGCTTTCTTTGCAACCTTAAAAAGACATTACAAATAGCTCGTTGGGAGGCCTTGTCTTCCTATTTTGACAGCTGGCACTTTTCCTTCTGCCTTGGCAAGGCAGAGAGCAGAGGCAAGGAGGAGGTTGTTGGTTGAATCAATCTCAGCGGCTGTGAGTGGCACATGAGTTTTCAAGATCTGTTTGCCAGGCAGAGACAGAGGATGTGAACAAAGACAAGTGTGGCCAGCACAGCATAGCAGTTAAGAGTGTGGGGCTGAAATCAAGGGAAATGGGGTTCAAATCCCCACTCAACCATGAAGCTCTTAGGCAGCATCCGCTCAGCCATTATCTCTCAGCCTGACCGACCACACAGGGCTTTTGTGAGGATAATCAGATGGGTAGAGGAGGGTGTGTTCTACTCTGGCATGAATTCCATGGCCCAAACATCCCTTAGAAGGGAAATGAAAATGCAATGAGGAAATACAGTGGTGCCTCGCAAGACGAAATTAATCCGTTCCGCGAGTGTCTTCGTCTAGCGGTTTTTTCGTCTTGCGAAGCAACCCTATTAGCGGCTTAGCGGATTAGTGCTATTAGCGGTTTAGCGGCTATTAAAGGCTTAGCGGCTTAGCGGCTTAGCTGCTAAAAGGCTATTAAAGGCTTAGCGGCTTAGAAAAAGGGGGGGAAATCGAAAAAAAAAATCTCAAGACTCGCAAGACATTTTCGTCTTGCGAAGCAAGCCCATAGGGAAATTCGTCCTGCAAAGCAACTCAAAAACGGAAAACCCTTTCGTCTAGCGGGTTTTCCGTCTTGCGAGGCATTTGTCTTGCAGGGCACCACTGTATAAGTTTTAAGTGTCTTTTGAAGTTCCACAAAAAGACTTGCCATCTTTGGTTTGTGCCTGGGCTCCTGAGACTTTAACAAACTCACAACTGGCAAAGGAATTAGCTGGTCACATTTTCCCTGCCAGTGAGATATCTTTGTGGTCAGAACAGCTTCAAGTCTCTGATATCGGAGGTAATAAGCCACCACAACTAGCCATCACTGATAGCCTTGTCCTGCATGAATTTATCCTTTTGTCCCAACATTTAAATGCCTGCTGAAAACTGTTCTGTTCCACCAGGCCTATGCAGGAAATTATGAGTTTTTTTGTTTTGAACTTTTAAAGCTTTTACTGCATGCTTTTATGCTCTTTATGCTTTTATAATTGCTGTAAACTGCTTTAATAATTTTAAGTGGTATAGTGGTATACAAATATTGTTATGAATAAACAAATAAAATGCAATTCGTCTAGTTCCCTTTTAAAAGCTGTGCAAATTGGTGGCCATTTTGTGGTAGCAAATTCCATAGTTTAACTCTGTGCTTCCTAAATATGTACTTTCTTTTACCTGCCCTGGATCTTCTAACGGTCAGCTTCCAGCTCAGGTTCCAAGGTTATGTGACAGGGAGAAAAACTCCATATTCACCTTTTTTGACATCATGGATAATCTTGTACACCTCTACAGGTACCCTCTTACTGACTTCCCCCTCACCCACCACTAAATCACAGAGCCCCAAATATTTTAACCTTTCCTCCTGAGGGAGTTTTCAGGACACTTTGCAAGCTCTACAATATCCTGTGTGCAAACAAATCCCTGCTCACCCTTGAAGCTCACTGGGTTAATTTAGACCAACCATCCCTTGGTCGGCCTGACCCACCTCACGGAGTTGCTATGAAGATATAATGGGTGGGTGGATGAGAGCAAAATATGACACCCAGAGCCCCACGGAGAAGGGGCAAGATAAAAAATAAAGGGGGGGGGGATAAATATTACCCTCACCTTCTCATAGGAATATGCTGCTTTATATCAAGTCAGACCACTGGTCTATTTTACTCAGCATTGTATACGCTGATTGGCAGCAACTTTCCAGATGTGGGAGAGCAACAACCCTAAACGACCTTGGAGGTCCTCTCCAACACTATGAGATCATGATTCCGCATCAATCCCTCATGTGCTAATTTTCTAGGTGCCGGAAAGTGTGTCATTGTAGTGAAGCATTCCACCTGCGTTGTAACTGAAGCCAAGGGCAGCTCCACGTGAAAGTGACCATGTGGGCTGGAAGGCCTAAGCCTATCTGACCCCAGTTGCTCTGAGTTTGATCTATTGTTTGGGGAGGCCAGCACAGGGTGAAGGCCCCCTTTGTGGAAGGATGCAGATATCAAATATGTGTGTCGGGGGGGGGGGGGAATCCTCTGCCTAGTCATCACTCCCACTCACAGGGCCTTCTCCAGTATCAACTATTTTGGACCCTATAATCACCAGATGAGGCCTTGCTGCTGCTGCCACCAGGGCTGCCTGACCGGTGCTGACACATGGCAGGCCCTTTTCAATGGTGGCTCCCCCATTGTGAAATGCCCTCCCGAGTAAGATCCCTGCCATTAGTAACTTTCAGGAGGAATTTGAAAACATTCCTGTATAATCAGGCATTTGGTGGATGAAGGACACTGCTCCTGGAAATCTTGAGGTCATTGGATGCAAGTATGTTTTTAACTGTGATAGCTGTTAGAATATTTTAAACAGAAACTGCTTTTAGACATTTTAATTCTGATTGTTTTTAGAATGCTTTAATTTGTTTTAGAATTAATTGGTTTTCTTTTTGTTCTTAAATTGTGTGTTTGCTTGCTACCCTGGGCTCCTTGGGGTGGAGGTGCAGGGGATAGAAATGCAATAAATAAATGAAATATTTTTTTAAGCTCTGTTCAAAAACAGGAGCTTGAAATTTTCAACTGTTAGTCCCTCATTATGGCAGATTGCCGAGCAAGGTTGGGATGCAGGAGTAAAAATAGCCCAGGAAGCACACACATTTTAATTAGCATTTTGACAAACATATGGCAGTTAACACAACACACACAATTCATTCTTTTTAACATACTGACTAAATACTTTGGAGATAATTATTTTCGTTTTGTGTTATTCAGAACATGAGCAATGCTGCTCTTTAAAAACCCAAATCCAAACAGAACTTGCTTTTCAAGCCAAAACCACAAGAGTGATTGTGCTTAAGAAGCAAGTGGCTCCACGGAGAGGCTGATGGGCAGAAGAGCAGCTCCCTGTGCTCAGAAGGAGGAATCAACTCATCAGACAGACATGGCAGAGTTGTGATCTATCAGCCAGGGTCAGTAGTTGGCAGCCTGCCTGGGCATTAGGGATGGAGCAGATTTGTCAGTTTCAGCTTTTCTTCTTCTTTCTCATTCTTAAGCTCAGCTCTTAACATTTCATTCATTCATTCATTCATTCATTCATTCCCTTCTTTTTCCTTCTATGGAGCTCAAATTGGCTTCCATAGTTCCTCTTCCTCTCCATTTTCTGGTCACAACAACCCTGTGAGGGAGGTTAGACTGAGAGGCAGTGAATGGCCCAAGATCACCTAAGCGAGTTTCATGGCTGAGTGCGGATTCGAACCCTGGTTCCCAGAACTTAGCCCAACACCCTAGCCAATACACACCACATTGTCTTCTAAAGGCTACATTACCCTGTACCATACCCTCCGAAATTCCTCTGTTGAAAACAGGGACATTCTATTCCAAATCACTATCACTGCTGGGGGGGAGGGGCATTTTTTTTCTTTTTGCATGTTAAGATTTTTATTAAAGTTTTTCTTTTTTCTTTTTTAAAGATATTTATTAAGATTTTCAGAGTATTACAAAAGAAAAAGAAAAAAGAGAAAATACAAAGTAAAAATAGTTAAAAACAATTCATTCCTTCCATTGCTTAGCCTTCATTTGCTTATTTCCAGGACCTCCTCACACCTCCCTTTTTTGTATTCCAGTTCAGTTATTAGTTCAACAAATCCTCCCCTCTTTATGTATCCTAATCATTAATCATAAAATATTGTAATTTTAGATTTTTACCTATTAATAAACCATCTTTTCATATTCCCTTATAACATTTCGGCTAAAGACCACTTAGTTTCTATCCACCATCATTCTAACATTCATTAATTTTGCAATATTTCTGTAAATAGTCTTTAAACTTTTTCCAATCTTCTTCCATCGACTCTTCTCCCTGGTCTCGGATTCTGCCAGTCATTTCCGCCAATTCCATATAGTCCATCACCTTCATCTGCCATTCTTCCAAGGTGGGTAGATCTTGTGTCTTCCAATACTTTGCAATGAGAATTCTTGCTGCTGTTGTGGCATACATAAAAAAAGTTCTATCCTTCTTTGGCACCAACTGGCCGACTATGCCTAGGAGAAAGGCCTCTGGTTTCTTCAAGAAGGTATATTTAAATACCTTTTTCAATTCATTATATATCATCTCCCAGAAAGCCTTGATCCTTGGGCACGTCCACCAAAGGTGAAAGAATGTACCTTCATTTTCTTTACATTTCCAACATTTATTATCGGGTGAATGGTAGATTTTTGTAAGCTTGACTGGTGTCATGTACCACCTGTATATCATTTTCATAATATTCTCTCTTAGGGCATTACATGCCGTAAATTTCATACCTGTGGTCCACAACTGTTCCCAGTCAGCAAACATAATATTATGTCCAAGATCTTGTGCCCATTTAATCATAGCAGATTTCACCGTTTCATCCTGAGTATTCCATTTCAACAGCAAGTTATACATTTTTGACAAAATCTTAGTTTTGGGTTCTAACAGTTCTGTTTCCAATTTTGATTTTTCCACCTGGAAGCCAATTTTCTTATCCAAATTGTATGCCTCCATTATCTGATAATAATGAAGCCAGTCTCGCACTTTGTCTTTTAATTTCTCAAAACTCTGCAATTTCAATTTGTCTCCTTCTTGTTCCAAAATTTCCCAATATTTCGGCCATTTGGTCTCCATATTGAGCCTTTTCTGAGCCTTTGCTTCCATCGGTGACAACCACCTTGGGGTTTTGTTTTCAAGTAAGTCCTTATACCTTATTGAGACATTTAACAATGCTTTCCTGACAATATGGTTTTTAAATGCTTTATGTGCTTTAACCTTGTCATACCACAAATATGCATGCCACCCAAAAACATTATTAAAACCTTCTAAATCCAAAATGTCTGTATTCTCAAGAAGCAGCCATTCTTTCAACCAGCAGAATGCTGCTGATTCATAATAAAGTTTAAGGTCTGGCAGGGCAAATCCACCTCTATCCTTTGCATTGGTTAATATTTTAAATTTTATTCTGGGCTTCTTGCCCTGCCAGACAAATCTAGGAATGTCTCTCTGCCACTTCTTGAAACAGTCCATTTTGTCCAAGATTTGCAATGATTGAAACAAAAATAACATTCTTGGCAATACATTCATCTTTATAACAGCAATTCGACCTAACAAGGAAAGCTTCAAGTTTGACCATATCTCTAAATCCTTTTTCACTTCTGACCAACATTTCTCATAATTGTCTTTAAATGGGTTTAGATTCTTAGCAGTCATATTAACCCCCAAGTATTTTGCTTTCTTAACCAATGTTAAACCTGTCTCCTTCTGAAACCTCTCTTTCTCAATCAGTGTTAAATTTTTCTCAAGCACCTTAGTTTTTAACTTGTTCAACTTAAATCCTGCCACATGACCAAATTCCTGAATCAATTCTAATACTCTTTTAGTACTAGATTCTGGCTCCTGTAACGTCAATACTAAATCATCTGCAAAAGCTTTCAATTTGTACTGTTTAGCTCCGACCTGTATACCTTTAATCAGACGGTCCCTTCTGATCATATTTAGCAAAACCTCCAGGACCAAAATAAACAGCAATGGGGACATTGGGTAACCTTGTCATGTCCCTTTCTCTATCTTAAATTCCTCTGTCACCACATTGTTAACTATTAGTTTAGCCTTTTGTTCTGAGTAAATTGCACTTATACCATTTTCAAACCCTTGACCAACCCCCATCCCCTGAAGATTTTTCTTCATAAAACTCCAAGAAATATTATCAAAGGCTTTCTCCGCATCTACAAAAATTAAAACAGCTTTAGTATTAATATTCACTTGTAGCATCTCCAAAATGTTGATTATATTCCTCGTATTGTCAGACAAGTGTCTACCCGGGAGAAAGCCAGCTTGGTCTTTATGTATCTCCTCCACTAATACTTTTTTTAACCTTTTAGCCAAAATATCTGCAAAAATTTTATAATCCACATTAAGCAGGGATATGGGGCGGTAGTTCTTAAGTTGTGTCTTTTCAGACTCATTTTTCGGTATTAGTGTAATATAAGCTTCCTTCCACGACTCTGGCGCTTTTCCCCTCCAAAATTTCGTTGCAAACCTCCTTTAATGGTTGAATTATCCAATCCTTCAAGGACCTATAATATTTTGAGGTTAAGCCATCTGGCCCTGGAGATTTGCCCAACTGCATGTTCTGAATGGCACCTTCCACCTCCTGTTCTGTTATTTTGTAATTCAACATTAACTTATTTTCTTGAGAGATTTTTTGAAGTCCATTTGTTTTTAAAAATTTGTCTAAATCACATTCTTTCTGTGGCCCTTGTGTATATAGCTGTTTAAAGTACCTCTGGAAGCATTTTCTAATTTCCACTGGATTCTGGATGTTCTTTCCTTCCACTTCCAAGTTGGTAATGGTGTTAAGTTTTTGTCTTTTTTTCATTTGCCACGCTAACAGTTTTCCACATTTATTAGCCGATTCAAATGTCCTTTGTTTCATCTGTTTAATTTTCCATTCTATTTCCTGATTCATCATCTTCATATATTGAACTTGGTATAACTTTATTTCTCTCAGAATCTCTTGTGATTTTGGTTTCGCTCTCAGTTTCTTCTCCCCCTCTTTTATTTTTTCCAAAATTTTAGCTTTTTTCTCATTTTGAGTTCTCTTCTTTATTGCATTCTGTTGAATTAGAAACCCTCTCATAACTGCTTTACTTGCATCCCAGATTACTCTTTTTTCGATGGTAGTGTTCATATTTATGTCAAAGTAGTCTCTCAAGGTTTAATTTTACCAGATCTTGTTGTTTTTTCCTGATCCAAGTCTGCCATAACACTTTATCTAAGGATTAAAGTCAGTCCCACGATTACTTGTTTGTGGTGGAAAATTCCCCTTTAGTATGGCCAGTTTAGAGTGGAAAATTTCCTGACCAATTGTAGCAATTTCCAAGTTCCTCAAGGGGACACAATAGCAGTTCCAATTTGTAACAATAAGATAGCTATTCCAACTTTCAAAAATCCGTTCCCAGGCATTAAGTGATGGTCTTAATTCCCTTTCTCTCTTCTTTTGCGGGCAAAAGATACTTCCCCTCCCCTCTCCCACACCACAGGGAGGGAGTTTTCTTTTTGTTGATGTAGGATTTGAGTCTCTTTCAACGCAATTTTCAGGCTCTTTGCTTTGACAGTCTTTGCTTTGATCCATTTACATAAAAGGAAGGCGGACTTCCTGTTTACACCTTCCCGCTTCAGTGCCGAATTAATCCTTTTCCCCCTTAAGTTCCCCAATCTTCAGACTTAACCTACTCACGGGTAGTTGTTTCTTAGCCGAATTGTCACAGGAAAAAGGTTGGCGCTCTCCGGCAACAGCTGCGCGGCTTCACTCCACGGAAGAAGCAGTTGACTCTCAGCACCGCGCCAGACTCCCCGCTTCGCTCTGGAACACTTTCCAGGGTTCCCTCGCAGATTGGGGGGGCGCTAAGGGTGCCCGCCGAGTCCCACGGTCACAGGCCTCACCCGCCTGTGATTTTCGAAGGGGTCCCCGCTTCGCCGTAGCGGCAAGACCCGATTTCCGCGGAGCTACTCCCTCAAGACTAGAGGGAATCCGCCATTGCCTATGGCGCCGCCTCCGGAAGTCCCCTTTTATTAAAGTTTTTCATTTTGCAAACAACCAGAGCCCAGCTAATTCCAGCACCCACCCTCAACCACCACAACATCCTTGCCCCCACCCCTCAAACTCCAGCCCCCCATAGGCTTGCCTGCACCCCACCAGCAACACCCATCTCCATTGCACATCCCTCCCCCCCGAGCCTGCTCCTTCCTAGGGTCTCCTCCAGCTGCTGCTTTCTCTTCAGGCCTGACCTGGCTCACTTTCTCCTTCTCATTTTTATTCAGCATGGCCAGCTGGATGAGTGGCTGGGGGCCTGCCAGGCTGGAGAGCCACGACCTGCCATATCAGGGATGGAGGCATGGGCATCCCTGTTGCCTTGCTCTTCCTTCTTCTTCCTTTCCCTGCTGCTGCTGCTGCTCCACCACCAGCTGGACAGCCTGCCTGGCTCCCTCCCTATGAGGACCTGGTGCAAGACTGTTTCCTCTTTCCCCACCCCTCCTTCTCCAACTCCCAAGAGCGGTGACAAAGGAGGAGGAAGAAGACGAGGAAGAGGAGAAGGAGGAGAAGGAGGAGAAGGCCGCCTCAGTCACCAACTCACTTTTCCCCCAATATGAAGCCATTTCCAGTTAGCGTACCTCAACAAAGATGGGAATTTGGGACTCTGTGTGACAAAATAAGATACCTTGGTGGCTTAAAGGTTTTCATGACAGTCTCAGCATTTTGGGGGCAGTTGGAGACTTTACAGTGGTACCTTGGTTTTTGAACATCTCGGAAGTCAAACGTTTTGGTTTTTGAACGCCGTAAACCCGGATGTAAATGCTTGTTTTTTAACACTTTTTGGAAGTTGAACATGCCACGCGGCTTCTGCTGAGTGCAAGATCCTGAATGCTAGCTGTCGGCTATTGAGGTTTCGGCTTTTGAAAGTTTCAGAACTCAAATGGTCTTCCGGAACGGATTATATTTGAAAACCGAGGTACCACTGAACCTGTAGTCCCAAGTGGCCTCCCAACCAAGTACCCTTCAGGCTGGACCCTGCTTAGTTTCTGAGATCAGACGAAATCAGGGTCATGTGGCCATAAAATTTCTGCATCAGTTGTGATATTTAGTTGTTGCTGTTAGAAAAAGGCCTCACAAAAACCGGCAGCCTTTTAGTATGCATTACTCCTGATAGGTACAGTTTGCACATGCAATTTTGCCTGATACAGTGGTACCTCAGTTGTCAAACATAATCCATTCTAGAAGACCGTTCAACTTCTGAAACGTTCAACAACCGAGGAGCAAAGGGTGGTCAGTAAAGTCAATGGAGAAAATGGGGCGGGGGGCGGAGATGCAGTGGAAGCCATTCAACTTCCGAGGTGTGTTCGAAAACGGAAGCATTTACTTCCAGGTTTTTGGTGTTTGAAAACCAAAATGTTTGGCTTCTGAGATGCTCAAAAACTGAGGTAGCACTGTATGAACATTTTTGCAAGATTTTTTACTGATACAAATTACTTTTGTACATTATTTTCAGCAATATATGCATTTTTAATGGAGAATACTCCCAATATATGCATTTCTGTACGCTTTATTTTTTTGGCTAGAGAACTGCATTGCAAAATTTTGAGAGGTGCAAGTTTCGAAGGACAGCTGTGTTTCATACTTTGGGGAAACATGAGTTAGGCATACTCAAATTAACACGCTATTTTGCTTTCCAGTATTTTAAAACCCAACTGCTGCAAATCACAGCTGCATTTCACTCATGCCCCTCACTCCTTCCTTGGCTGCAATAAATCCAGCAGAAAGCATGAACTACGGTGCCTATTGGAAAGTCAAAATCCAAAGAGGCAAATGGGTATCACAGCTGAGGAAGCCACAAAAAGCAAGCAACAAGGAAAAAACACAAGCTGTGTGTCATGCTGATTGTCGGCAAAACACTTGGAAGTGGAAATCTGGAGCTTTGAAGCCTTGCATCTGTCACTGAAGAGAAAATGAGGGGTTGGAAGTGCCTTGATGGATATGAAGTGCAACAGGGGCAAACACAGGCAAATGGCAAGTAAGTGTGAAAATGGACCATAGCTCTTCACCAACACTTCTAAGTCCTCTGGGTAGAGGCTGCAGCTCAGTGGTAGAGCATCTGCTTTGCATGCAGAAGATCCCAGGTTCGATCCCTGGCATCTCCAGGTAACGATGGGAGTGTCACCTGCCAGACACTCTGAAGAGCTACCATACCTTGCCCCTGAACCAAAATCAGAAACCACTGCTTAGGGGAAGTGTTCCATGGTAGAACATCTACTTTGCATGTGGAAGGTCCCAGATTTAATCCTTGATGGCATCCCCATGTTGGACCGGGAAATACTGCCTGCCTGAAACCCTGGAGAGCCACTGCCACTGTGTATTGTTTCTCAAACTTGGGCCCCCAGCTGTTGTCCCCATCACCCATGACCACTTGTCCCATTAGCTATGGATAATGGGAGTTGTAGTCCAACAACAACTGGAGACCCAAGTTTGAGAAACACTGCTAGGCAATACTGAGCCAGATGGGCCAATGGTCTGAGTTAGTATGAGGCAGCTTCCTCTGTGCTTATGAGACCCGTCTTTCTGCTGTAATGACCACACCACAAACCACCCCAGGCCACCAGAGGGTGTGCTTTCCTTTTTTTTTTAACCAAAGCAGATGTTGTGGACTGGTTGGCCCAGAGAAATGGTGGGAGGCACCAGTTGGGGAACCACCAAGGGAAGAAAGGCTCGGAGCCTGGGGAGTGGTGGCGGGACAACAGTGAGAAGCCTGGGAGGAGGAGGTGTTGGAAGCTGAAGAGGCAACAGGGTTTAGTAAGCTGGGAGACTCTGTGGCAGAGGAAGAAGCTGAAGTAGGGTAGGAGGAAGGTCGAGAGGCAGAGATGAGTCAGGCTGGTGAAGAGACAATGGTGCCTCACCCTCCTGCTGCAACAAGCTCCCCTCCCCCCTGGTTTTCCAGAACCAAAAGAGGCATGAAAAGGGCAGAGGAGAGGTTGGCTGCACACAGCCACTGTCTCCTATTGCTTGGGGAAAGCCCTGGAAAGGAGCGGACTTAGATGGCTGTGAGGAGGTGGGGACTTTCAGTCTCAGCAACTGATTTTCAAGGAGTAAGGCTACTGGGGATGAGCTGTTCTGTTCATTGGGCCTGCTACTCAACCAAGTCTGTGGAGATCATGTTTTGCTAATAATTAGTTAACTCCAACTCTGAACTGTGTGATTACTGATTAGCACACTCCTGTGACAGCAGCCTTCCTCAACCTGCTGGCCTCTAGATGTTTGTTGGACTCTTACTCCTGTCAGTCCAAGCCAGTTTTAGTAGGGATGATGTTAGTTCAGAGGCCCCCAGTTTGGAAAAGGATGCTCTAAGATAAAGCACTTGCTTTCCTACCAGCCAGTGCTTCACATCCAGCCAGCATGACCAAGGTTAAGGAATGATGATTGCTGGTGTCTAAAGCATCTGGTGGGTATCAGGCTGGGGAAGGCTGGGTTTTAAATACATGGCCAGTTGTACCACACTGATGTTTGACTTCAAGTCACTGAATAGTAAGCCATGGTTTGTTCAGTCTATAGTTTGCTTAACAAACCATGAATTGTCCCAACCCCCACGAGTTTTGCAAAGTTTGCTTTGTTTTCCAGATGCTCTTGCCTTGTGCCTTTGCATCTTTGTCAGCCACTGGGGTGGGGTGGCCTAATGGCTAAGGAAGGGCACTGTGCTCACAAGTAATACCACCCCATAGTTAAAGCCACCCAAGGTTTGTAAGCCATGATCAAGCTAGGCTTCACATTGTGGTTTGTTGGCACTAAATAAGCCACAGTTAAGCAGCTGCGGAAGGTTTGGATGATCAAACAAATCACAGATTAATAAGCCGTGGCTCAGTGTACTTTGTGAACCAGACTGTTTTCCCTCTTGATTTATTTGCGCGCGCTCTCTCTCTCTCTCTCTCACACACACACACACCAAGCTTTAACTCAGTTGTGTTTGACACTCACTGAGTCATTGATTTCAATTTCAAGAGGCCTGAGGGTAAACATTATTAACACTTTTGTACTGCGTTGTAATATCATAAAACTCGTCCTTAAGGGACAGTTAATATAGTTGCATTTCCCCCCTTTAAAAAATCAATTTAAGGCGAAACAATCCCCCTTTTAACTTTTTTTTCTAATTAAGCAAAAGCAGCACCCAAAGAGGCATGATATGGTGTTGGACTACAATTCTCATCATCCCCAACGGTGGGCCATCTTGGCTAGAGCTGATGGGAGTTGCAGTCCAACAAAATCGGGGGCGGACACAGGCGTTCCTCATTCCTCAAATTACTGGATGCAGCCAAACCTGGGAAATTTCATAGAGAGCCGGTGTGGTGTAGTGGTTAGAGTGTCAAACTAAGGACTGGGAGACTAGGGTTCAAATCCCCACTCGGCCATGAAGCTCACTGGGAGACCCTGGGCCAATCACTGCCCTCAGCCTAACCTACCTCGCAGGGCTGTTGTAGGGATTAATTGAAGAAGAGGAGAAGCATGTGCGCCACCTTGAGCTCCTTTGAGAAAAAGGTGAGATAGAAATGCAATAAACGAGTAATGAATAAAAAAAATTTTGCTGCCTGAGGCAATGGAAATGATGGTGTTTCCCCATTCAGTTTACTGAAACCAACTGAACTGGCAGCTGAATTGTAATTTGACACTGGTCATGGAAGGCTTGCTTGGAGGGTACAGGACACAGAGCTCTGTCCTCCAACAGAGGGGAACAACCAAAAGTCTCAGGAGGAATGGTGGGAAGGAGTTGAATCCATCTGTGCTCCCTTCCTTACCAATCAGCCCACTCTGCCTAACTGTACAACTAACTCTGGACACAGCTCTGTGTGGATATTGGTGGAACTGAAGACGAACACTATTCCATTCCAGGTAGGAAATACATGACACACCAAGAAGTGAATCAAGGTTGAAGCAGAGCTGTAAAACCCACTTGGCTGCACCCACTTCTGTCAAATAAAAAACAAACAAACCTGGATGTCTGCACATTCCCCGTGTGTTGAAAATGGGGAACCACCTACCAGCATGCAAATCCCATCACCCCTGACTACTGGCCATGCTGGGTGGGGCTGTTGGGAGTTGGAGTCCAAGAACATCTGTGTGGAAAACAAAGGTCCTCTCACTCCTGCTTAAGTGCCTCTTTGCACCTAATATTTATCACTGCCCGCCTTAAGCTGCTTAAAATTGTAGCAGCTGAGTGTGCCAAACAGCTGAATGCTCCTCAGGGGAATGAGGATTGACTGATGGTTGGCAACCTGAGTTTGCCCTCTGTAACATGTGAAAATGGTGAAAGACTGACTTTGGCAATGATGCCCAAGATACCCCTTCCTAACAAGAGTGCTGAATCCACAACCTGCTCAAGAGATTCCCTGTTCAGTTCTTGCCAATGGTTCAGTTCCTAATACAATTGTCAAACGTGACTCCAACCATGTAAGCCAACAGTTAGCTTTTATCTGCTGCTCTCTGTACCTCACCATCTATTAATTAACATGCTTATTTAATTAGTCCTTCAGGAATTGCGTGCTACAGAAAACATTAAAGGATGTCAAATGCAAGTTGTCCATTAGTGCAAGACATTACCCCCCCCCAAAAAAAAAGAAGGAAAAAAGAAAAAGAAGAAGAGAAGGTTAACTGATAAACGTTGCGGAGGGCAGTGACTTAATTGACTTGGGCTGCTGATGTAATGGGCTCATGGCACTGACTGACACAATTTATGTTAACATATTAGAAAAGGGGAGGGAGATGCTTTTGAGAAGAACAGGGTGTCCAAGCAAATGCTTGATGCGAAAAATGCTTAATTGACTTCATTAGACTCAACAGAAGAGAACTAGACTTCCTTGTGCAAAGTGGAGCATCACTAGCAGCAAAATACGTTCTCCAGGATAATGGTTTTCAAGTGGGGAAGCAAGCCCCCCACCCCCTTGCATAAAGGAATATGTTCAGAGATGCACGCTTTTAGGTCAGGGAGGGGGAAACTACCGTATCTTTCTCTCTCTCTCTCTCTCTCTGTTAAGCATTCTTGCTTATTAATAGTTTTGAAGCAAAGTAATTTTAGACCCTGGAATATGCATTACTTCATTTCTGAAGCACACAATTGGCATATCTCTCCTTTCATCCAGCCTGTCCCAACTTCTACATTCCAGGTACATCACAGCAAAAGGATCAAGAAAAAAGAAAAGAAAAACAGCTTGCCAATCCAGATTTTTGTTTTTTAAAAGAAAGGTATGTGCACTTTTGCATTTTAATCTCATACAAATCATAGCACCATCATGACTAAAGGAAGAAAACCAGGTTTGCTTCAGATGCTAAGCACATTTATTGGGGAATAAGCCCAATCCCATTGTAGAAAAGGCTAATAAGTTATTAAAGTAAGAATAACGAAACCAGCATCTGCAACCATGTATGTACCCAGCCTCAGGCTACAATCTTTTTTAAAGGAAGGGAGGGAGGATGTTGTGCCAACCAGAGCTAGTCCAAGTGAGCATTGCCATGCCCAGGCCAGCTCTGGTGCTAAGGCTGGCTAGTTTGCCACTACCACATCATCAGCTGCTCTCTAGTTGGTCACCTGAGACCTCCCTAGCCCAAGGGATCCTGGACTTCTCTCCAAAGTCCAGCAATCAGTGCACCACTTTTGCAATTAGGATCTCAAGCCATTCACAGCTATCCTAGGAGACACATCACTTTCATATAGTCAGCGCTAGCTGTTGCTTGTGTGATTGATCACTAAGCATACTGAGCATAGTTAATGTTCTTCAAGCTTAGGTCCTGAGACATTGTTGTTGTTGGACCCCAACTTCCATAATTCCTACCCAGGTTAGCTGATGACTGGGGCTGTCAAAGTGAAGGGACAGTGGTAGCTAGGGATGGGTGAATACATAGGTTTCTGTTACTTTTTGTTTTTTCCAACTTTTCTTCTCCATATTTCTGCATCAGATTGCATTTTTTTGTTTTTAACTCATCATGAATACCCATTAGCATTTAGGGGCAAATTTCTGTCATACACATTTTTATATGCAATCTGCCTAATACAGTGGTACCTCAGGTTACAGACACTTCAGGTTACAGACGCTTCAGGTTACAGACTCCGTTAACCCAGAAATAGTACCTCAGGTTAAGAACTTTGCTTCAGGATGAGAACGGAAATCACGCAGCGGTGGCATGGCAGGCCCCATTAGCTAAAGTGGTACCTCAGGTTAAGAACAGTTTCAGGTTAAGAACGGACCTCCAGAATGAATTAAGTTCTTAAACCGAGGTACCACTGTAAACACATTTTTCCAAAGCAATTTCCCCTAGTTATAATGCATCCTTGCATGCTATTTTTACTAACACATGTATTTATATGTCCACTTTGTTCTTGTATATGCATTTTTGTACACATTGTTTGACTGGAGAACTCAATGCAAAATTCAGAGAAGTGTGGCTTTCAAAGGATAGTTGTGTTTTGCTTTGCATTTGGAAAATGCAAATTTTCAAAGTTAGTCTTTAAATGTGAATTGAACTGAACTTTTCCCTCATTCCCTAGTGGTAGAGCACCTGCTTTGCATGCAGAAGGTTCCACGCTCAATCCCTGGTTTTCCCAGATATAGCTGGAAAAGACATGGCTCTGGAAGTCACTGCCAGTCGGTGTCAGTGAGCCTTCCTCAACATGCTGCCCTCCAGAGGTTCCTGACTACAAGTCCCATTTGGCAACAGCCAGCAGAGGAAATGGTCAGGGATGATGTGGGGACCAGAAACATCTGAAGGATACCAAACTGGAGGCTGGCTTGGACCCTGACAGACACTGGAAGAATTTAATCTTAACAAAAGCTAAAACATGGAGTTGAAAGGAAGAGGCTGTTTTTAATATTCTTTTTCCTATTCTCTTTCAGATGGCTTTCTTGTAAAAGATGCTGCAGTCCTATAAGGTTTTAACTGCCTGTAATGTTTTTCAAATCATAGGTAGTTTTATTGAACGATCTTTGCTGGTTCAATTTACTCTTTTATTATTCCAGCCAGTTATTTGGCTTTACATTTTTTTGGGTGCAGTATGATGATTTTGTAAGATGTTTACTTTTATTTGATGTGAGTTTTGTAGATTTATTTGCACTTATATATTGTATAGAAGGCACTTTGAGAGGGATACACACACACACACACACACACACACACACCCAATCTCCCAAGTGGTGAGAGAGATTTCAGAGATTTCAGAGATTTCAGAGATTTCAGAGGTACCAGGCACTTACCAAGGATTTGATGATTTCCCAGGAATGAAGATTAATGGAGACTGTGGTGTCTTTAGGGCATATTATTTTATTTATACCTATCTACAAGCTAAGCTTAGGATGGAGTGTCTCATAGAACTGACATAGAACAGATCTTGTCTCCCTCATTAGGTTCCCAGGGATATCCCCAGGTCATAGCTTTTTGGGTCCAGCACAGAGAATGACAAGCCTCTATGTATCCAGATCCCAATAGCCAAAACCTACATGCACACAGACCCCTTTGACCTATGGCTCTCCATCTTAGGACAATGTGGCATCCAGCCAGGTGAGGTGTGAAAAGGCCCACTCATTTGTCCCTATGGCAGAAGAACAACGTCTTTAAGACGCTGATGGTGGGTACTTAGCTGAATGGCTAAGACCAAAGGAACTGGTTTGACTGGTTCAGCAGGATGCCTCTTCTGGATTCTGAAGATCTGAGGTTCAGAGGTTCAGGGTCATGGGCAACTGTGAATGGTGCATACACAGCTGTCAGTTCATCCAGGCTCCAGCACAGTGTCATCTACACTGACTGGTAGTGGGCCCCAGGGTTTCAGGCTGGAGTCTCTTAGCCTTTTCTTCTCCCAAAGATATCCCACAAGGCAGTGGATGTTTAGGACCAGAGTTTTCCTTCTTCCCAGGTGGACGAGCCCCATCTGCCTCTCACTTCCCTCTGCAGCACATGCAGAAACTGCTTTCTTAACTATTGGGCCCACTATAGGTATCATCCACTCAATCTGCTGGAGCCTGTCTTGCATGCAGGGGAAGTTCCTAGCTCACCAGGGTCTGAGACCCATCAGCTCCCCATACCTGGTTTACCCAGCCACTAAAAGCCATTTTCCAGGGTGTGGCCGCTGTCTCATGTTGACACCTTCTGGGACCCCCCCTTCTGGGGGGGGGGACCAAAGGTGACAAACTCCTCCAGAAAGAGCATGATGTGTCCCCCACCAGAGGAACTACCCCTCTCCTAACACCCCATACACAACATGGCAGCATTTAAAATGTCACAACACAGAGAGCTGAAATGCTATGGTCATTCTCCTTCATCAGCTGCAGCATTGCTGCTTGAGGGCTTGTGCTGGAGGAGGAGGAGGAGGAGGAGAAGAAGGGGGCAGTTTGGAGAAACGAGGCCACTGCAATCCCTACCCCATTCCCTTCAGCACCCTCCTGTTTCAAAGCCTAGCAGCATGACCCAAAGATTCCAGCAGGAGTCTTTCATTTTGTTTCAGCTCTGAACATTTCCTCCAGCTGTTCCCAACAGAAATACCATGGCCTTCACCTTCAAAAGCCTGCTCACAGGGTGTGAGGGGTTTCTATGTGAAATGATGTCTTCTGGTTTTTATATACTGATTTGATAGAGAAAAGTGCCGGAGGCGGGGGTGGTGGTGGTGAGGACATGTGGGGAAACGGTGAAGAAAATATGTGTGCAGGGGGGCATTTGATAAAATGAAAAGCAGCTTTTGAAAGGTGAGATTCATCTCTGAAAGACAAGCTGCTTCCTAGGAAAAGTTTCAGGGGCCAAAATCCTTGTAATGTGCAACTGTTGGACAAGGGTTCACCCTGACTGCTAAAGCTCTGTGGCAGAGCATCCATTTTGCAAGCAGAAGGCCCCAAGTTCAGTCTCTGGAACCTGGGGAAACTTTTTCACCCTGATGGCCATGTTCCCTTCTCAGCAACCATCAGAGGCTGCAGGCCAGTGGTGAGCAGGGCCAGAGGCCAAAGTGGCTGGATGAATGAATGCAAATTTTACACTTCTACAATAGGCTAGCTTCTGCACAGACATCTTTCTATCCTCTGCCCAGGGGAGCAAGAGGCATGATCAAAGCTCTAAGACACATCCCAGTCAGGCAAAACCACTCAAGGAAGGTGCAAGGCTGGACAGAGTGTATGCAGCCTGCAGAGAGATCTAGGGGCCAGATAGAGAGACTTGAAAGAGCCACACTCACGAGTCTTTTGCACCCCAGTATTTATCCAGGTTCATAATCGTTCTCCAGGGCTTCAAAGCAGAGAAAAGCCTTTTTAATCACCTGTGACTTGAGACCCTTTTAGCTAGAGAAGCAACTCAGAGACGCAATTTCCAATGTTCATTCTTCCACACAAACGGAGACGCGCCAGCAGCCAGCCACACAAGCCCAGGTGCATGAATACTTCAAGGCACAATGGGCATTAAGGGGCCTCTTAATGCTTCCGTCGGAATTAAGAGGCGGCTATTCAAAGTGGGAGGTCGGGTGGCAATTTCCTTTAGAGCAGATGTTGGACCAAATGCATTTTGGTTCAGAGAGAGACTGATTTACAGGTATCAAAGGGCTTGCTTAGGATTTATTACTGCTGCTGTTGTTTTACAGGTCTCCACTTCTAATGGGTTTGTCCCTGGCCACCATACTGGACTGGGAAAGTTCATCCACCATAGTTCCTGTGCTGGTTCCTTCAAGACTGGATTACTGCAGTACCCTCTATGTGGGGCTTCCCTCATAGCTGCAGTTAGTGCAGAAAGCTGCAGCACGATAACTGACAGGAGGAAGGCCCTGTTAATACCTGTGCTCAGATATCTGCATATGCAGCCGTTAACAACTTGGGACACTCCAAAGGTTCCAAAAGTTATTTTTTCTTTTAAGGGTGAATTATAGTTTTGCGCCGGGACGTGGGTGGCGCTGTGGGTAAAACCTCAGTGCCTAGGACTTGCTGATCGCATGGTCGGCGGTTCGAATCCCCATGGTGGGGTGAGCTCCCGTCGTTCGGTCCCAGCTCCTGCCCACCTAGCAGTTCGAAAGCACCCCTAAGTGCAAGTAGATAAATAGGTACCGCTTTATAGCAGGAAGGTAAACGGCGTTTCCGTGTGCTGTGCTGGAGCTGGTTCGCCAGAGCAGCTTCGTCACGCTGGCCACGTGACCCGGAAGTGTCTCCGGACAGCGCTGGCCCCCGGCCTCTTAAGTGAGATGGGTGCACAACCCTAGAGTTGGACATGACTGGCCCATACAGGCAGGGGTACCTTTACCTTTACCTTTATAGTTTTGCCCTGGATAAAGATTGGGGGGGGCACATCTGTGTAATTTTCTGTATGTGGTTCATGCTTTGGAGCTGTGGGTTTTATAGTCCTCATGTGGGCAGGAGCGTTGGTCTTCCTTCTTGGGGTGGCATTCTTGGGAACAATAGGGATCATAAAGCAGTATCCAGGCTCCTTAAGCCTGCTGTGCTCTCCCTAGGGAGAAGCGTGGGTTGTTCCAGCAGCTGCTGGGATCCTAAGAGCCACAGTAGGCAAGTACATCTCCCACCCCTTGCAAAGCGGTAGCCTGGGGTTTTTGGGGTGGGGGGTGGAGGACTTATTTCATTGGAACAGTAAATGTCCAGACCATGTCAAAAGCTGACTTTTTAAACATCACCACCTCCCCACATTTCAAAGCACAGCACCAGGGTGCATTGGTGGGTGTGTTGGGTGGGGTGTAGTGCTTATAGAAATGCATGCTCAGTGTTCTGCAGGGTGAGTGGGAACCAAGTTTGTGTGGTGCTTTGGATGCTGGCCAAAAGGGGTTGGGAGGCTGCATTCCACCATGTGCAGATCAGAGTGAGATCGCTCCATGTGGCACCCTGCCAAATGAGGTTAGCTAAGGAGGGAAAGAATTTCATGATGAGTCCTGGAGTGCGAGAGTTCATGGCCAGAGCAGAACAGGCTCATTAACTGGACTGCACTGGTGTTGTGACCCATGGTCCAGGAACTTTGCACTGCACAGCAGGGAGATTCAGATGAGGTTCAGCTATTTCCTCAGAGAGATGACCACCATAATTGTACTCAAACCCTGGAGAACACAGCCCTGCCACCATGCTCTGGCTCAGGAGATGTGTCAATCTTAGTAAAGAAGGCAAAAGCAATAAATCAAGGCCAGGGCCAGCCAACTCTTCCATCCAGCCTACCCAAGGCTTTGGTTGGCTACAATAGCCTGAGCAGGGCTCCTTGGAGCTGTCCAAGGTCCTGGGCACTTTCTCTGGGAGCTGTCCAAGTTGCATGCTCTCTCTGACTCAATATTGCCTGCCTTCCCTAGGAACCTCTAGGTTGACCCTAGGTTGACCCTAGGTTGTAGAGAGCTCCTAAACACAATGCCCTCAGTAGGAGGTCCTCCTCAGTGAGCCCATCTCCTCCCTGCTGGCACCCCATGGCCTGTTTCCTGAGATGAATCTGCAGAATTGGGCAGAAGGAGAGTGCAAAATAAGTGAAGGCTGCTGCTCTCTCCTCACCCATGTTCCTGCTTGCTTGCTTAGAAGAGGGCACGTGAACAGGCAGTGATGGCACAGCAAGGAGGCTTGGGGGGGTTGATGGTGGTCTCCTTGGACGACACTGTGGGCTTTGGCAAGTGCTCAGGGATGCCTAGCTTGAATAGAACCCTCATCATCCTTTGTGAATGATGAGGTTTTTTTATTGAAGTCTTCATAATACAATAAAATAGTTGCTACAAAAAATGCAAGTAGGATACAGAGTCCTCTCTTAAAAATAATTTTTAGCCCTCCCCACCTACAGAAGATAGTAACTCCTCCCAGCTCTCACTTGGAGACCGACATTTCCATATCTCTTACCCAGGGTCCTTCATCAACCTTTTACCATCCCCATGAATATATACTCTGGACCTTAATAAAGCCCACAGACATGGACTTCAGAGAAAGAAAACAAACAAACAAACAAACAAAAAAGAATGAAAGGGACAATGAGAGAAGAGAAGAGAAAGAAAGAAAATAAAAAGACAAAAGAAACATTAGAGAAAGCTACCAAAAAGTCCTTCCAGTTTTCCATTTGCTAGTTATATTAAACAAAAAAGGATTATGTAAGACATTCAGTCCATGCTAACACCCATCTTCTCCACTTTCTATTAAGCAATATTTCTTTTAAGTCAAGGTGTTTTAGAATCATTCATTTCTTTTTCCCATTAAAAGTCCAAGACGGGTTCCCAAATTGTTGTTATTATTGGTAAATGTCAACCATATTTCCCCTTTAATATTAACTTTACCTCCATTAATTCCCACCACTGTAACTCCACACTGAATGATAGTAAATTCTTCCCTCCATGTCCATTTTAAAATCTCTCCACTGTGATCACATACTGGGATAATATTCCATAATTATTTTCTTATTATAGATCCTTTAGTTCATGTCCAGTTCTGTATATTCACATTCCATTTCCTGTTGTATTTCCATGCCTATCTTGATGCCAACCCTGTGACCAGGGCCAACTGAACTACCCGAAGGCATCAACGCACAGATACAAAGCTTCCTTATATTTAACCAAACCCTTGGCCCATCTCCTCCAGCAATGTCCACTCTACTTGAGAACCTGTAGAGCTGTGCCCAGAAAAGGCGAGGAACTTTCTATGGTTCTGCTGTTGAAGAGCCTTTATGCTGGGAGTGCTGGGTGGGAATTGAATCAGGGACCAGACACACATAAAGCAGTGTATTCTGCCAGGAAGCTATTGCCGGCCCCCCTGAGGGACAGCACACCTTCCAGGATTCTAAGACCACAGCAGTGACATCAACAGTCTGCTGTAATTCTGAGGAATGCTAGAGGGCAGCACCAATCAGCAGAAATGCTAAAGAAAGCAAAGTGTGATTTATAGCAGAAATACTCCCCCTACCCACAAATCCTGACATAACTCAGTTAAATATATATATATTCCACCTCTCAAGACATTCTATGTCTCTAGGGACATTCAAACCACTCTCCTCCCCACCCTGTTTCCTTGTGCACTTTCCATTTGGTTCATAGCAAAATGTCAAGGCCCTCCTATTGGAAGCTGCTCCTTTAAGGCAAAGGGGGTACTGCCCCACCCATCTTAGCCTGCCCCACCTGCTTCCTTACTTACAGCTGGTCAGTGGGTGGCTCTTGCCTGTCATTTTGCTCTGGCTTCACTTGCAGTTGGTCTCATTGTCTTCCACCCTCCTAGCCCCAATAGTCGCCAGCCAATAGTCAGTCAGCCTCAGAGGTATTGGGCCAGGATGCTACCCAAGAGGTGTGGGCTGAGTTGACACATGCAGAGGAAAGTCCTGGGGTGGCAGAGTGCACTTCAGACTCTAGCCCTGATGGCCATTTTACCCAGCTGCCAGAGGCATTATACTTAGAATCACAAGAGGGGAGAGTGCTGTTGCACTCAAGTCATGCTCATGGGCTTCTGGTTGGCCACTGTGAGTGCACCTCCAGGGGTGAAGTCAAACGATTGTGTCAGCAGCACCAAAGTTACCTCCCCAGGGTGCAAGCCTGGACAGTGTGTCTGAAGATCCTGGGCTGCCCAGACGACAAGACCCCTCTCTCGCTCTCGCTGAGGTGGTCCAAAGAAAAGCAGAGCAATACATTTGGCACCAGCTTGGCTGCAGGAGTTCCCAGAAGGAGGCGTACAAGGTGCCATCCAACCATCTTATGGACTCCACTCTGGATTTGTGTAGGGTTTACTCCTGAGCCCTTTAATCTCCTGAAGATATCCCACAAGCCAGTGGAAATTTAGGATCAGAGTTCTCCTTCTCCTAGATGAGGTACCTTTCCAGGTTGATGAGCCCCATCTGCCCCTCACTTCCCTCTACAGTACATGCAGAAACCGCTTTCTTGATTGTTGGACCCATTAGTGGTCTCATCCACTCAATCTTCCAGAGCCTGTCTTGGCATGCAAGGGAATTCCTTAACTCACAGAGGGTTTGAGACCCATTGGCTCCCCTCAACTGGTTTAGCCAGCAGTCAAAGCCCTTCCTGGGGTGTAGCTGCTGTCACATGCTCATAGCTTCTGGGAGCCCCAGGTGAGAGCAGGGTGGGACAAAAGGTGGACAAACTAGCCCAGAAGGAGCACAATGTGTCCCCCACCAAAGGCACTACCCCTCCCCTAACACCTCACACACCCAAATTGGCTACTCCTGCTCTAATTTATTAGGCTCAATGTGCTTCAGTTAAGAACTTCGTCAGGGCTTCTGTGAAGGAGGAATAACCATCGCTGCCTGCACAGAGCAGGTCTTTACCTGCAGAAATCAGAGGAGTCAGAAAAGGCTTTAAAAACCCACCTGCTGTCCAGTTAAGGGCTATGTCCTCCCACTCCATCTGGCTTCAACTTGAACAAAGGCAGTGACTTACCGTAAAGAATGGTGATGAGGGAAACTGGCATGACAAGGATGCCCACCAACATGTCCGCCACTGCCAAGGACATCAGGAAGTAGTTGGTGGCATTTTGGAGCTTCTTCTCCAAGGAGACTGCCATGATGACCAGAATGTTCCCTCCAATAGTCAGTAGGATAATGATCAGGATGAGGAGGGCAGGCCAGTTCTTGTCCCCGATGGACTTCCGAGGGGCTGCTGCCCCCTCAGAGACATTCAGAGGATCGGACGTTGGTGAAGTCTGATTCAGAGTCAAATTGTGGCTCAGTGGCCCGGACATCAGGCCACTGTGTGGGCTAAAGTCTAGTGGGACTGACACTGTTGTAAGGCCAACAAGAACCCCAGCCCCATTAGTGGCACTCATCATTCATGCCAGTAATTGCCCCCTCTCCTTAAGAGCCCCTCAGTGTTAATCCCTTTTTCATTGGAAATAAGGTCCAAGGCAATAACTGGATCTCATGGCACCAGGGCCTCCAAGGTACTTGGCCTTCCATAGTGGATGAAAGCTTGTAGAAGCCACAGCGGAGTTCTTCCGGGATACCGTGAAGGCAGGACTCCGTGGCTTGAGAGGACCAATGGGCAAGAGGCAACGGGATCTTTGAAAGAACATCCAACTCATACTCAAGGTCAGCATTCTGCAAAGGAAAGACAGAGGCACCCTCATTTTTGCAGCAATCAGAGCAGAGCCAGGGCTGGATCACACATGAGCATTCCATCCTACCAAGCCGGATGCAGCCCGCAAGCCACATCTCCCAGCTGATACTCAACGATCCCACCTCCTCCTTTTTGCAGTCCTAGGAAGGCAGTGATCAAAAGGTCTATCATGCTTCTGATGGGTCTCCATCCTTGGCTGAGGAGCTATGTTCAGCACACAACTTCTGCAGGTTAGCCGAGGAGCCATGCGTAATTTGAAGAGGACCTCTCTGGTTTTACTCATGTCAAGAGCTCTATCTGGCCCAGGAAACCTTCCACCAAAATGAACCTACTGGTCTTCCAAGACCTTCTGCTGTTTCTACAGCAGCAGACTGAACATGCCTGCCACTCCTCTGGAATTCTACCTATGGCAGGCAGATCTCCCAAGCCAATTTTGAAAAGGAAGGCCAAAAATAGGCCACTGCCCTAAATGGAACTGTTCAGGGCCATTAAACACATCTTGGCATGAAGCAGCAGAACTATAAATAAAAGCAGGGGGTCCAGACACATGCTGTCCTGGGGACTGAATTTTGGCTAATATACTTCAACTGTAAGTCTAATTTGAGAGAGCTGTGTTGGAAGTCATGCAAAATAAGCAAACCAAGAAAAGAAAGAAAAACTAGACTTTGGGTGTATTGCATGTTATTTCCTTAAAAGACACAACAACCATTACCCCCCTAAACTAAAAGGTTTCCCCCCTCTAAAGATGGGTCAGAGGGACACATGATTGGATTATATGCTATATAAATTATACATGGTATGGTGAAAGAGGGTATTGGGGGGGGGGGGAATCTTCATCTGTCATATGGCTCATCTAGCCCAGCAGCATGTTTTCAGAGTGGCCAACCAGATGCCTCAGGAAAGGCCCCAGACAGGACCAGAGCACTAGAGCGTTCTCCTTTCCTGTGGTTTCCAGCAACTGGTATTCAGAAGTATTACTGCCTCCAGCTGTGGACATTGTAGCCAGAGAGACTTTAGTTGCAGACACAGGTGACACAATTTTAGCCATGGTTTAATTCATCCTGCTTTTGGCCATTGCTGTGTTCAAAAGGAAGAGTTCAGCTGTAGTGCTGTGTTTAAAAAAGAGCTCAGCCCTTCCAGAGATGGGCAAGGAAGTTGCTTTCAAAGCACTTGCTGCAACCTGTGTATGTGTAACTGGCCCAGGTAGCCCACAATGCTACACAAAAGATGCCCATTCAGTTCTCTCCCAATCCATCACCTTCTCTATGTCGTTTCACTTGTCCGCAGTCAGAAGCAAACACATAATTACAGCCAGAGGGGTGGCCTGGCTGCAGAAAGCCAGGGCCCTAATCAATGGCAGCATCTGAGCAGCAACTATAAACAATTAACCCCACCCCCCTATTTCCAGGTATGCAGTGGAAGGAAAGAATAATAATTCTTCCCAAACCTGGCACAGCCAGACACTTACTAAGAAGGAGGAAGCCAGGTAGAGAAGTCATTATTAGCTCCAGCTGAAAGTTGCAGGACAATGCCATCAGAGCAGAAGGGGGTCTATTGAAGTAGTAAAAACTCCAAGGGAACTGAAATACATTGATGAGGGTTTATTAAAGCTCAATTACAGAGCTGCTGTTCAGACCTGCCAGATATATTCTTGTGAGGGCTGTGAAAGTGAAACAGCCACGTTTACTGGAGAAAGAGAGTAAAAAGACGGGAGGGGGAGCAGATAAATGAAAGAGCTTTTTGAAGACAAAACAGGAATGGAAACATTTCCCATTAACGGGGGGGGGGGCGGGAGAGAAACCCACACAGCAGTGTTTCCCCTGTTCAAAATCCAGCACGCTAAATAGCTTTCAGAGCATTTTATGTGGGTGACAGCTCGCTCTCTTCACATACCAGGTACCAGGATGCTGAATGTTCGTGATCTCCCACACAGTTTGTTCCTGTCGCCTTCTGTATTGCTTGCAGTCCATGTGAAAGATGGAACGAGAATTAAGACTCAAGGTGGTGATTGCTGAGGGGTTTTTTTCTTTGTAAAAACAACAACAAAGCACTTCCCATCACCTATTCTGCACTAAGAAAATTCACAAAGAGTGCATTTTAAGAAATATAGAAAATGCATATATTCCGCACGTGTCGACTAAGTTCACATGCATAGTGCACAATCTACATTCGAACCTTATGAAATTCATCTTTCTGAACAGCAATTCTTCACCTTGTGGTATATTATTTATTATTTATTCATTCATTGTGTTTATATTCCAGCATTTTTTCCCTCCAAGGAGCTCAAGGTAGTGCATGTGGTTCTCCCGCTTCTCATTTAATCCCCACAACAACCCTGTGAGGTAGGTTAGGCAGAGAGGTCACCTAGTGAGCTTCATGACTGTGTGGGGATTCAAACCCTGGTTTCCCAGGTCCTAGTCGGACACTCACCCCTACACCACACTGAACAAAATTGTACATTGCTATCTGCCACACCAATCTCTGAGTAGTGTGAGATTCCAAGGGTCCATGCACCTATAAGGGGTTCATGTTTCCTTTGGAAATGAGGCACAGCAGAGATTGTGTCTTTATTATATATGATTTACCGATACATGTATAAACAACCAGAGCCTATGATGGCAGAGTTCACAACATTCACATCCCAAGAGGGTCTTGCTTCTCACATAGACACAGCAGCCAATGTATGCAAAACCACACTAGCCTCGGCTCGGCCTCCCTTCAGCTTGCTGTGTTTTACAGACAGCAACTATTTTCTCTAGCTCACATTATCCCACAACTGCTATCCCAAATGCAACTCTGCTTGCAACTCACAACTCATAACAATATTTTTTGTACCAGGGGCCATCACCCCTGCTTGCGCTGCTCATCAATCATGTTTATCCCTTTGCCCTTCTCCCACACCTAACCAAACACCCTCCCTTTATCCCTCACTCCCCACCCACTCACAAGAGGAAGCCAGCAGTAAATCACACCTTGTAAGTTGGAGTTAACTCTTTATTAGCAAAACCACAATCAGCACAGGAGGGTTGCGTCTAATGAGCACAGCAATCATCACCAAGAGGTCTTGTCCCCATGAAGCAGTTGCTAAAGGTCCCTTCCATCTCACAGCTGTCTAAGTCCTCTCCTCTCCAGCGCCTTTTTCAAGCAATCAGAGATCAAGCCTGCATGCCGCCAACCTCTCCTCCGCCCTTTTCATGCCTCTTCTGGTTTTGGGAGACAAGTGGGGAGGGGATCTTTTTGCAGCAGGAGGGGGAGATACCCATGACTCTGTACCAGCCTGACTCATCCCTGCCTTTGGACCTCCTGCTCTCCTGCTTCAGCTTCTGCCCCTGATTCTGGACTTCACTCTGCCACAGACTCTCCCTGCTCACCAAACCCTGTTACCTCTTTGGCTTCTAACACCTCCTCCTCCCAGTCTTCTCCCTCTTCTCCTGTTGACCACTTACCAACACCCCACTACAAATCCCTTGGTTCTGAGCCTTCTTCCCTTGGGGGTTTCTCAACTGGTGCTTCCCACAATTCCTCTGCATCCAACCAGTCCATTGCACCCAGTCACTCACTCACTTACCTGTCTCGCAAAACTCCTCTCCTTCCTCAACCCCCTTGTCTATCACCCCAACCACCCCATTTTGAAAGAGGGTGAAGCACTTCTAAGAGCAGTTTGCTAAACAGCTGTGGGAAGGGCCTCCCCCTTGCATTAAACTTCGCTGCAGGTGTGCTTAATGGAAAGGGGAAGGTGCTTCACAGTGCTTCCCCTTCCCTTCATTAAACAATTTGCTTGGGCCATTTGGCTATTGCTCATGCTATAGTTGGCATGGCTGTCTATTGGGGGCCACACAAACTGCAGAGCATGATGACACCTTTTTATGCATATAGGAAGATAGGCTGAGCACTGCCTGGATCAGACTTCCCAACCCACTCCCTAAACTCAGGACTTTCAATCTTTGCTATCATGTCAGCCTTGAAGCCCCCTTTGTCATTGCAAGAGACAGATATCAGGGTGCGGCCATGGGGAAGCTAACTTCCCAGACTTTAATTGGTACTTCTCACAGGTCAATATGCTCCAAAAAAACCACCCTCGGTACAATAGTGGAAGAGAAGTTTTAATGCCAGGGTATCAAATGCCAGCATCTCACTTGACCTTCAGTACAATGCCCTGTACTTAACTCAGTAGAACAGGCTGAACTCAGTAAATTAAAGGAACAAATATTAACGTCTCTTGTAATAAAAGCATGAATTATGCATACATTGCCTCTGCTAGCTGTGAATTCTTAGCTTCTGTTTCATCCTCCCTGGACCGTAAGCCTCCCCTTCCTTTCACTAATATCCAGCCTAATGACTTTTCAATTCATTTTGGGTTTAATATGTGGCAGAACTCTGGCAATTAGTTCAGAGCAAGCAGGGCCCCTGCAACAAAATGCTGTGATGTATCCCTGGTGTGTAGGTGTTACTGAGGTTGCGGCTGAGAGTGAATCACAAAAGATAGCATCAGAGATGGGAGTTGCTGCTCTAACTTGGGTCTTCCCTTCTTTGCAAAACCTTATTTAAGTATTCTTGATTTTTGAACATTTAAAAGTGCAGCCAGGCTGCAGGCAGGTCAGTGTTGCCAATACTGAGGCAGATGCACCAGTGGTATAAGTCAGCTCTCCTGTGCCCTGAGAAAGTGGGGGGTCTACAAGTCCCTCCCTCGTACCTGCCATGCCATGCCCATAATACCTTTCTTTCATTCCACGCACACAAACTCCTCCAATATGCCATGATAGCTAAAAGGACCTGGCAGATGAAGGTGACTGACTACATGGAATTGGCAGAAATGACTGGCAGAATCCGAGACCAGGGAGAAGAGTCGGTGAAAGAAGACTGGAAGAAATTTAAAGACTATTTACAGAAATATTGTAAAATTAATGAATCTTAGAAGGATGTTGGATAGAAACTAA